GATGGATGGATGGATGTTGATATTGTATCATCCCTTTCATTCTTAACTTTTACTTTGCCTGCTTTTGTCTTTGAACGGCTTTTATTTTGAAGTGTCTCAGCGGAAGTAGACGTCAGCACGTCCGGCTTCCCTGTCAGCTCGTGTCTCCTTGGAGCCGCTGAGGAAGGGTTTTCCTCGGACTTTGTCCTCCATCACTTCCTCCTTGGCACCAATGGGGGTCAGGGCCGCGCGCTGGGAGGAGCCGGCCGCTCAGGTGCGATGCTGCAGCGGCCAGTGAGAGGCTGCTGCTCGGGGCTTCCTGCAGCGGGGGAGCAACGATGGTCACGGAGCCGAAACTTTGCCACGCATGTCCGGCTGGCTGAAGAAGTTCTCTGCGGCTGATGGGATCGTAGCAGCGGTCACTTTGTTTCCTTGGTTTCCTTCCGGACCGCCCCTGCGCCTCTCCCCAGCCCGGCGGCGGAGGGCCCATGGGGGCCAAGCAGAGCAGCCCCTCCGCTCCCTCTCCCGCTAACGGCCGGACCAGAGCCTACTCCGGGTCGGACCTGCCCTCCGCCAGCAGCGGCAGGACCACCAGCACCGCGGAGGGGGTCCGGTACCGCGCACAGGGCACGTCCAGAGCCTCCGGAGCCGCGTCCAGCTCCGGCCAGCCTCCCGGAACCAGGCCCACGTCCGCGGGCGGCTCTTCGGGTCCAGGTTCCGGAGCCCGGTCCGGTATCAGCATCCCGAACAGCGGAGGAGTCCGGAGTTCACCGGAGTCCGGCGGCAGCAGCCCGGAGGAGGCGGACCAGGACCGGACGAGGCACGGAGGGGCCCGGCTGGTGATCGGATCTTTACCCGCTCACCTGTCGCCTCACCTATTCGGAGGTAAGTGGGTCGGTGTGCTGACCCGGTTCGGTTCAGGAACCTGCGGCTCGGTTGTTTGGACTTTAACATGTCGCCTGATGAGACGTCCAACAGGTGTCATTCAGCTGGTTCTGGAAGGGGCTGGTTCTGGAAGGGACTGGTTCTGGAAGGGGCTGGTTCTGGACGCGGTAACTGCTGTTTAGGGTTAGTTCTGCTGCTTTCTAGAGTCTGGCCCAGGAACCTTTCAGTCTGGTTATGGTTCTGTTCCCTGTCCGGGTCTTGGACCCTAACCAGACCCAGACCCTGGCCTTCCCAAGGTTCTGTTGGGTTCACCTCTGAGGCCACAAACAGGATGGTGGCCGTTGGACCCGGTTCCACTCTGCTGGTTACTGATTGAATGGCTTCTGGAGATCATTCAGTGACCCGGGTTTTATTGGCACGCTTAATCAGTTTATTGCCAGTTTCTCTCATCAGAACCAGTAAAGGAGCTTTAGCTCTGAGGATTTCTGGGAAAAACTGACCAACCAGGAGCAGAGTGTGACCTTTGACCCAAATACCTCCAGGCAGAACATGTGTGGGATTGGCAGGCTGATTGGTGGGTTCCGATGCCGGCTGATTGGTGGGTTCCGATGCCGGCTGATTGGTGGGTTCCGATGCCGGCNTAAAAACACATTGTGCAGCTCAATGCTGGCTGCTTCTGTGATCTGTAAATGATACGCACTCCTCATAGCAAAATATAGGTAACGAATACTCACCCTCCTCCTGAAATCAAATATGTCACAACATCTACCTCTAACTGTCTTTGGTTTTCTTACTCGTCTTTTTGCAAAGCAGTAATGTCCAGTTTCAGATCAGGTGCCTCGTTTGATACGAAAAGTGTTTCCATTGTAGTTTTGCAAAATATAAGAATTTCTATAGAACTAAAAAAAGCCTTCCTGCAGCCAGAGGGTTGCTGGTTTGAACCTCAGTTCTGTCTCAGTTTTAATGTCCTTGGGCAAGGCACTTTATCCTCATCACATTCTGATAGTGGTCCAAGGTATATGACTAGATAAAAGCCTAATTTTTCAAATTTAAATTACGTTTTCATACCTGCTTGTCTGTTTATAGCGTTAAGCAGAATTGCATGTTGACATATTGGATTTATGCAGATCATTATTTACCACTTTCTGTAATAAGAACAAATTGTGTTAGTGTCATAGACACTATTGTTTTTACTGTTTGCCGCATCCAGCCATCATCTTCAGCAGAGAGAGTAGAACCATTCCCTGTTAAAGCTGCCCTCCTCCTGCTTTTTTCTCTTTCCATCTTCCGCTTTCTCGCACCCTTGCCTCCAATCCACCATTATTAGTGTATCCAATACTCCAGAGGGCAAATAAACTTTTAAAAAATACCCCATAACCCACCAAGCATAACCCATTTTCCTCTCCATGCAATTAACTGCGCCAACATTTACAATATGATTACAGACACTTTAAAAAAAGTCATGGGGGGAACGTAGGGCATATTAGGTATCAGCAAGGGGTTGATCGTAATGGTTGCGTTTCCTGGAGACACACATTTTCTTTTTCACACTGTAGTGAGAGCCACTAAATTCTACCCAGGCAGTAAAAATCAATGCACTGGAACTATGATAACAAACACAGACAACCACTTTCTTTCTCATCACTAACTTTATTCCCACTTTCCTTTCTCCGAGGTCCCTGTTCATTTTTATCTCCATGCGCTGTACCCAGCCGTGCACT